TGATGCACCCCAGGATCCCATTGGCCTTCTTGGCACCCAGGGCACGCTGCTGGCTCATGGTCACCCTGTCGTCCCCCAGCACTCCCAGTCCCTCTCCGCAGAGCTGCTCTCCAGCAGGTCAGCCCCAACCTGTACTGGTGCATGGGGTTGTTCCCTCCCAGATGCAGGACCCTGCACTTGCCCCTGTTGAACTTCATCCACCAAGACCTCGTCCAAACTGGGTTTCATGCACCAAAGCGGTAAATGTCCTCTTCTCCTCCCCCCCATCCCTCCTTGTCTCTCTGGGAGGGACAGTAATGTTGATTTCCTCCTCTTAGACAAGCAACCCCAAACCACTCGGTCGCATGGACCACCAACCCGTGACATGCAGAAGGGCAGCTCCCGACCCGAAGCCCGTTGCGTGCCCAGGCAAACGGAACTCATTTGCATCGGGCTGAGGCCGGGTAACGAAGTGACACGCTTTTCTGAGAACATCGGTAAATAGCTCACCGGCCGTTATTTGTCTGCGGGTGTTTTCGGGGGGGGGGCAGGATTTTCCGGTGCGGCACTCTGCGTACACGAACACTCAGACTGAAACCCGTGGTACGGTTTCATACTCAAGGCACTCTTTTTTCCTCTTTTTTTAATTAATCCAGAGTTAAGGGTTGATTTAGTGGGGAATGAGATGCACAGATAGGCTGGCGTTGGGATGGACAGCGCTGAGGGACTGCTTGACTTTGACTTTTGTGTTTAGGACGTCGCTTTCTCTCCTGCTCTTCTCCCTCCTGCTGTCCCAGGAGCTCTGGCAGCGTCATCGCCTCTGCAGCACCAAAAGCCACTATTTCCTCCCCAGTTACCTACAGGAGTCGAATAATCAGAGTAATCTCCCAGACACCACTCGCAGCGGCTTTGCTCTCTGCCATGTCTCATTTGGGCTTGAAGCGGAGCTTGATGCACCTGGAAAAGCATCTCAGCTTCTCCAAACCCAGCCAGATCAGTCTATTTTGCCAAGCCCTGGGGGCACTGATGAGTGTTAACCGCCCTAAGCAGCCTCACCTGGGACCCCCAGACCCTGCCCATGGTTGGGGATCTATTTAAGCTCAGTCCTGGGGTGCAGCCCTTCTGCAAGCTGTGCTGGAGGGGTACCAGTGTATGGCTGTGGGCTCTGTTGATCCATCCCATCGTGATTCATTGCTCCTGTGCCCTCGGTAAGGAGATTTGGACCCCTAACAAAATTCAGCAGAGGTTTGGTGCTGCTTCTCCCAAGATGGAGAAAATAGGGGTGTTGTGGGGGCGTGTGAAGGGGGAGATGGAGAAGTGGGCCAAGCGTCGCTTGCCATGCCTGGAGGATGCTGAACTTCATCTCAGATAGCAATAGAGAGGGGAAACATGGGGTGGAGACATGGGGTACTAAATTGTCTCCATCTCCCTCCGCATCAAACCTAAACCTTAGGGCAAAACTCCTGAAACTCTTGGTGTGACTTTGTGGACAACCTGGCTCTGCTCCTAAGGGTGAGTTTGGGGCGGTTTTTTGAAACTAAAACTTTGGATTGCAGCTCTTTATGCTGTAAACTGGGTTGGGCAGGAGGCAGGTCGGAAATGGTGACTCCTCTCTAGCCCTCACTTGGCTGTGTGTGAGCAACAGGGACTGCGACTGAGCGTGGTCTCAAGAGGGAGCTGGAGGCTTTGTCTTGGAAGCAGTGAAGACTTTTTGCTCCAGGCCTCTGTGCAAGAAAAGAAAATCAGTAATGAAAGGTTTTCAGTGGGGCTCTGCTTAATTGCATCCATAAATACGGGGCTGGGGGGACCCCCAGTTAACCATCGGGCACAAACCACCCCACCTCAGTTTTCTCCTTGCTTCGCATCGTGTGGTTTTTCCTTTTCCAGCAGTTTCAGGGTTAAAATCTAAACGCAGACCGGGGAAAGGGGTGCAGATTTTATTTCCATTTTTTTCCATGGGGTCAGCCGGATGAGGGAACTTTTTGGGCTGGAAAATGGGTCCCTTGAGAAAGGAATGAGTTTTTCAACCTGGCTGATGCCAGGAGAGGACGGTGATGCTCAAAGCTAGCAAAGGGTCAGTTCCGAAGGGTGGTTCAAATGCTAAAGAAGTTCAAAGCTCCCCCCCCGGGTGCAGACAAGACTTTCCCAGCAGGATGTATGGGTCATCCAGCCCCTTTTGTGCTGGAAATGGGATCCCTGGGGTGCTGGCATCTGGAGAAACACCATGCTAATTAGGTGGGACTCGTGAAACGATCCTGATTTGCAATGCAGGAGGCGGGAGCAGTTCAATGCCTGAAGCTGGAGAGAGGATTTTGGAGGTGGGGGGAGGTGGCTGCAGATTTCCCAGGGTCAGAGGGAGCTGGATGTGGCCCCATTTCCCAACTCACTTCTCTGCTTTCCCCCCACCCTGGGAGCTGTTTGCAGAGGCATAACTGGTGCTGGGCCCCATGCCTACCAGCAGCATTGATCCGCTGTCGAGAGGAGGGCAAGACCCTCTTCCCACCCTGGGACCCTTCTCCTCCTCCACATGGGTGCCCCTCTGGCTTCGTTCCACCTCCTTCACTCTCCCTGTGATATGTGACCACCTTCCCGATCCTCCTTCAGCCTCACCTTCTCCATGGATGGTCTTCCCCATCTGTTCCACATCCCCCAAATCCTCTTTACTTCCATGCTTGGCCCCCCTTGTAGGACGTGGGTCTCACCCCCCAGGCTTGGCAGGGCTCCCTTTCCTCCTCCTTCCTCCCTGATGAGCTTTGGGTACCAGGAAACCCACATGGATGATGGGTACCAACGGTTTTGGGAATGGGGACCACCCTGGGGGATGCAACCAGGAGGACTTTGGCCATCACCCGCTCTCTCCCTTCCCACCCAGGCTCAGCTCTGGCTCTGCCCACCCCTGGGGGCGGCAGGAAGAGAAACGCCTTTCCCTTGCTCGGAGGAAAATGAAAGCGGCCGCAGTCTCCCTGCTCGCATCAAGGGGCCCCATGGCCGCGCCGAGCCCCACCGCAGAGCTCCCCAGCGAAGCCTCCTGCCCCATCTGCCTGGAGTACTTCCGAGACCCCGTCTCCATCCACTGCGGTCACAACTTCTGCCGGGCATGCATCACCCGCTGCTGGGAGTGGTCCACGGTGAACTTCTCCTGCCCGCAGTGCCGGGAGACTGCGTCGGAGAGAAACATTCGGCCGAGCCGGGAGCTGGCGCGGGTGCTCGAAGTAGCCAAGAGGTTGAGTTTGCAGGCAGCCAGAGGGGAGACGGTCAAGGAGGAAGGATGCGAGAGGCACCGGGAGCCCCTGAAGATCTTCTGCAAAGACGACGAAGCCTTCATCTGCATGATCTGCCGAGAGTCCCGAACGCACCGCGCTCACGCGATGCTTCCCGTGCAGGATGCTGCCCAGGAATACAAGGTAAGGGGGATTTTTTTTCTTGCTAGGTGGGCACTAGGAGCCAGACCAGCACCATCAGGGCTTGCTGTTCCCCTTCAGCACATCACCATCAGGCCGTGAAACATCTTGCCCCTGCCCGGGGCAGAAATGTTGTCCCCATCTGTGTATTTTCCTCCACTCTTCCCCCACAGCAAACCGGCCTGTTTCAAGATGACAGGGCACTCCACGCACCACTGCTTCTGCTATCTCAGTTCTCATCTAAAAACCTGATGCTCTGAAGGGGTGAGGTCTTCA